AATTATAATTTTTAGTGTTGTTAAACTACCTAACTTTAGTCAATAAAACAGTGTAGCCATATTTTTAACCAAAGATATTAGAATCAATCTTCAAGTTGAGACTCGACTTAGAAGTTTAATTCGATTTTTTTTAGGTTACAAGCTTGACTAAGCCACAGTAGAGATGGTCAAAGTTAGGTAATTTAACAACACAAATAATTTTATATAAAAATATAAAATTTTCATAATAATATAATAGAATTTCAATTTGAAATATAAAAAAAGAATTTTTCTCATTATTAATTATATGAATAAATATAATAATTTTACTTAAACAGGGTTTGAGAAATTACTAATTTTGCCAATTCATATTACATTATATAAAATTTGAAGAAGTTGGATATTTGCCCGAAAATTACCAATAATATATTAAATGATATTTTGGACAATTTTAACATTTTAAACTATTCATAATAATTTAGCTATCTTATTGACCTTGGCTCACGTAAAAAACGAGATGCTTAATTTAGAAAATGCATAATACAAGACTATGATTTTATAATTTACAACCTAAAGAAAAAAATATTAAAAATACGTTTGAAAATGAAAACAATCCAAATTCATGTGCTCACACTGCACTGCTGATTATTTATTGGATCCATAATATAAGGGGAGCATCTTACTTCAGTTTGATGATGCATATGACATAATACAAAAATTAGTCGTTTTATAAAGTGATGATAATTAAAATATTTAAAGTGATATTTTCAGAAAAGCGGTGGTATATTTAATAGCCAAAATATGTGGAAACCAGTAACTTTCATAAAAAACAATCAGTTTCGGGCTCAAGTTGTTGGAATGGGCTTTGTTCACATTGAATATTAAGAGAGGTGTTTAATAAATCCGATTGAAGATCTCGACAACCAGAAGATCGGTAGGAGTATATCATAACCTAAGATTGTTTAAAAAATGTTAAAGAAAATGATAAGATTGAATATAAATTAAAACAAGGCTCTGCTATGGAGAGTGAAACATTAATTATAGAAATATACATACATTTTTTTACTAAAATAGAATATTGTCTTAAAAAACATTTATTTGAATTTGACCATATTTGACCGGTCTGCACAACCCTGGTTCCTATACATTGGGATCAATTAGATGCTGAATATATATTTTTTGGAAGGCATAGGAGTAGTGTTGTTAAACGGCACGATTTGGGTCGACTTTTAAAAAAGCCCGATTGAGATTTTAAGCAAAATAATATTATGTAAGCCTCGATATTTGTCAAATAAAGGTTTCTGCCATCTGAGCAAAATCGGCTAAAATCTTAATCGGGCCCTTTTTATAAATCGACCTAAATCGATCCATTTAACAATACAATATAGGAAACACTTAATGCTAATATTGCCTGTATTACTTTTCTAAGTAAAATCCAAAATACTTTTTTAAGTTTGGCTAAGGTATTTTAACATCTTATTTTGGTAAAACTTTTAGAAAATGATAAAATTTCTTTATCATCATTCTGAATCATTCTCATAAATGACTAGTCAGAGTTAATATTAAATTCTGTAAACCGTAGTCCTTCCTTCAGAAATTTGCCTGTTCTCGTAAATAACTTTTTTAGCAAAAATAATTCCCTTCTACACACACCACCCTATTTCTCCCTAAGATATATTAAATGTACCACACTAAAGAATTTGAAAGAAAAATAAGTAACAATTTTTTTAAATAACGACTATAATTCTATAATTCAAAATTTTTAGAAAAAAGTGATAAACCATTATTTTTATAAAAATATAAGCTAGCCAATGTCCTACAAAAGTGGACTTACCAATAAAATTTATGGGGCGAAAACCCACATCATAGTGCTTCCCCCCCTAGAAAAATCTAGGGTATAGCTATGATTCTATATCTGTCTGATTCATTTATCATTATTAATTAACTATACAAAAAAGACCAACATATAGAATCAGATATTTATTCAAAATTTTTAATTAATAAATTTTAAAGTTAATTATTATAATATAACATTCAAATTAATTATTGAATATATTTATAATAATATATATATATGAATATATTAAAAATAACTAATTACATTTAGCAGTTTCATTCCAAAAAATATAACTAGTTACAGTTATTTTTTTACAAAAATATGACTAGTTACTTTAATAACACTAGTATTTAGTCATACTCATAAAAATGAGGAGAAAAAAAAAGAGAAAAGATAAGAAAAATAAAGATTAAAAATATCGCAAAAAGTTAGAAATAAAATGTAACTAAAATTTAAGAAAAATTGATAAGAATTGCTTTTTTGAAACTTTTATATTTAAAACAAAACAGAATATTTATTATTATTAAACAAAACAAAAACTGTATAAAGAGCATAAATGGTAAAAGTGAGATCCTTTTTTGATTGACACTTTATCTTTTTGGGGGTGGGGATACTTTTCTTTTGTGGATGGGAAACCCTAAATAGATATTTATTAGTCAGTTGATCTAAAAATGATCAATGGATAAAAACAGTAACTAATGAATATCGCAAAGATTTAGAATGAATCTAAAAACCATTTAGAAATTTTCAAAGAAAACTATCAGAGATGCACCATTACCATATTTTTAACCGATTTCAAAAAATAATAATGTACAGGCGCGTAGTCAACGGGGTAAAAAATATATGTTTTTATTAACTGTGAATTGCAAAATATTCTATTTCAAATAGGTTATATTTTATTTTAAATCAGCAAAAAGTTAAAATTAATTTAAATACTTCCTTCCTTTGTATTAATATCTTATCTTACTAAAATTTAAAATATATTTTCTTACATATTTTTCAAACCACATTGATGGATACAAAATAATTTTATCAACCAAAAAAAACCAATTTAATTTATCTACTAATAACAATGATTGGGACATTTCTAGATGTGAAATGTCTTCTTGTTATCAGGAAGAAACTGCATAAAGCATTCCCGAGAAGGGGAGAATCTTCATTACTAGCTGTTATAGCATTTTTTGATCTAGAAAAGCTTATTTTGAATGGCCTTGGAGAAATATTGGAATGGTCTTAACCAGATTTCATCTTAAGCAGATACATTATTAGATTAAATACAATTGATTTCGTTTTTCAATGGAATGTATTAATATTCTATTACACCATATTTTTATGCAATTTAAAAAAAATGATTGGATTTGGCTGAAGCTATGAGAATCGCTAAAATTATTTATTACCACTTAGAAAACTAAGATATAAATCAACTTTTCAAGATATGATTATTGAGAAGAAAGCGAAATTATATTGAGATTCGTAAGTTTAAACATGCACCTAGACAAACAAATGGTTCCAATATTAACTTGGACTCAATTGAGAACTACTATAAAATAACCTTTCTTATTTCACTTGAAAATATTTTTTACTCAAATCAATGAACGATTTGTGATTCATCAAATGTCTATCCAGTTTACAAATTGTATATTTTGGCAACAATATCAATTAGTACAAGCACAGATGAGGATCTTTTATTCATTACATAGAATAAAAACTTATCTCAAAGGTACAACACTTAAAGTCGATTAAATGGATATCTTTACTTATACATCGAGATTTAATCTCCATTCAGAACAAATTATTAAAAAATTGGTGCAATCACATAGATTAAATCCTCATTTATGAACCATATATTGATTATTTAAATCTATATTTTGCTGTGATTTATAGTGTTGTTAAATGGCTCGATTTGAGCCGATTTTTAAAAACGGCTAACTCAATATTTCGTCCAGAAAAATATTACGCAAGCCTCAAGATTTTGCTCATAGAAGGAACAAAGGTCTAGGCATATATTAACGAAATCTCGAGACTTAGGCAATATTTTTCTGGCTAAAATATTGAGTTAGCCGTTTTAAAAAATTGGCTCAAAATGAGCCGTTTAACAACACTAGTGATTTACATACCGGTTATAGCTATGATATTTTTTAACATTATATTCACTCTTAAATATTTTTATTTTCGAATATTTTTTTATTTGTGTTCGAAATCGCCATTTTTAATATGATTGGTAATAAGATAATAAATTTTATATTGATTAGTTCTAGAAAATTTTTAATGTTTGAAAAAAATTATTATATATAAAACAATTATTCCCCCCTATAGAAAAATTAAAAGATATAGGAAATAAAGAATAACAGTACCTTCTCTCTCTTTTTTATCGGTTTAGAAATGTTCATGAATTTTTTTTTCGTAAATCATGGCAAAAATTAATTATCATTTTTGAGTATCAGTGACGGTTAAAATTGAAAGTATCGGTGATACCATTACCTTGAGTATCGGATAAATTTTTTTTTATTTAGTTAATTAATCAATTTACATGATGGCGACAAGTGACCTAGTAGGCAGTAATTTTTGATTTTGTGAAAAACATCTTTTGTAAAAGTCAACCAGACGGGGTTAAGACCCAATAGTTACACCAAAATAATTTAGAAAGTAGTAAGTTGGAATCAAATCTGAATTCTTCTATTTAGTTTAAAACTCGATCTGGATGTAGCCGACTATTTTTGAATTTTTTCGGACTTAGTTGAACTAATTTTGGTTGATATTAACGAGAAGTTAATAGAGATCAAATCAGTTATTCTAATTTTTATATAAAATTATGGATTTACCAAAGTTTTCAAATAATATGGAATGTTTCAGTGGGGAGATTGCATCTAATTTTGAAACCTCTTATACCAAGAACAATGTCATCCTTTCTGATACAAATATCAGAAGCGAGTGGATATTCATATGAAGTTCTGGATTTAGTAAAACATTGTTTATCATCTTTTGGAAATTAAACTAAATTTTTTTACTGATATATTCGATTTCTATTTCCAGTTTTTACATATTATTTTTATTCTTATCTTAAAAAAAGTATCTGATTCTATCCTATAATTTCATTTAATATTATACATGATTATTTAATATGCAACGATATGACTAAGCTCAAAACAAGAATTGTTTGTTATTATGTGTATACTATATACATGAATAATTTAAAAAATATTTAATGATTTGAGCATTACATCACAATACACTATTGACATACAATGTTTATATATATAAATATAATGGGATAACGATTACATATCATTCATTAAAATAACCATGTTTTAATGCTTGTTCGGCTGATATTCTCTTCAGGGGATTACACACCAAAAATTTCTAATTTTTTTTTGTTAAATATGTATTATAAAAAATGTATATTTTATTTAAATTCAGTCAAATATAGTTTTGTTGCCAGTTTTTTCTTCATAAGAGGGTTCACTTTTTTAAAAAATTAAAAATTAGCAAAAAGAAAATGGAAATTATCTAAAAATAAATTCAGGGTGCTCTGAAGTTTTTATAGGGAACAACACTGTTTACAATAAAAAGATATTACTTTTAACAAGTAGATTCCTTTCGGTGATAGATTGGGAATCACGTAGCTCAAGTTGGCAATTGGTTGATAATTTGGAAAGTGCTTCAAATTATAAATTTAAAAGAAAAAAAAACGTTTTATTAAGATAAATGCGAGAAATTGATTTAAACCATTAAGGACGATGGTTATATTTGTATGTATAGTGCAAATCAAGTGTTTTTTTAATCTATCTGCAATAAATTATCAGTTTATTTTTTCAAATTTGGTAATAAAGTAAAAAAAGGATATTATATTCCTACAAAATTATAAGTCTTTATATTTATCGGGATATGAATGACAATTTGTATAAAAGCCGGGTTAACATTAAAAAATGTCATCTAAAGGGCGGTTACATTTTGGTCAACAATATAGAGGTCATGGATATAAAGAACAATATGATAAGCATTTTAAAATGGAATCCACAAAAATATCGTCCTTTAGGTGTTTCATTGCTTCAAATATTAAAAATAAACTTTATAATCGGGTAAATTGATCATTTCGGGCCATTCACTTTCTGTAGGAGTTCCTAATAATGTAAAGTTGGGATAGTCATTTTGATATAAAAAGTTAAAGAAAGATTATTTCGAGATATAAATAATCTTGATTGTGTGATGGATTTTTTATTTATAATTACATATAAATTTTGATTTTAGTTAATTTTACGTGAAAATGAATGACTCAATAAAAACCTCGGGATACACTTGGTATTTAACTGATCGGATAATATATGTAAAACGAATTAATAATAAAATTATTCGAATTATTTATTTAACTATTACAGGGTTTCCCATTCAAAAGGAAAAGGTCCTATTAAAAAATTAAAATTAAAGGTCTGATTAAAAAAGGAAAAGTCCAAAAGGTTTAGGAGCAAGTCTGATCACAAAAGGAAAAGTCTCAAAGGCTTAGGAAAAGGTCGTATCAAAAAAGGAAAAATCTTTAAAAAAAGGAAAATCGTTATATTTAAAAAAAAAATTATACACCTTTTCCTTGTCAATTGATGCCACTTATTTCGCAAAAATTTAAAACGAATAAAAAAATCATAAATAAAATATTATAATTTTGCCTTGAATGAATATTTTTAAATCAAAATAGATGGCATCGTTATAATAAATATCCAATTTGATGGATTTGAAGAAAAACTAGCGTAGCTCTGCTGCCTGTCAACACTAGAGGGCTTTAGTGATGAAATCATGATTGAGGTATTTATAACTATTAAAAATATTTTAAACTCACATATTCAACTAATAATAATGGATTATGGCATAATACCAATGTTTCACACCAAAATTTGAATCGAATACTAATAATGCAATTATTTGATTCATATTTTTGTAGGTCTGTAGAATAAGATATTATTAAAACTCATGAAAAAAAACAAATTATAGGAAATATTACCAGAATTAATTATAAAATAATAAGAGTTATTTAAATGCTAAAAAGGATATTTAAAAATGCGTCTTAATTCATCTTCAACATCAGATCCTGGAAACAAAGGTTTTCCTGCATTTGCCATTTCTAAAAAATGATATAAATATAGTTATAAATAATATATAATTTTGTCGTTTTAATCCTCGACATTTAATAGCAATTAGTGGCGTCACATAAAATCATATAGATAAAAATAGGTAGTGATAATGGCATTCATAATTTATTTTGAAGAGTAATATAATATATATATCATATTAGGATTAGTAAAAATATGATTTTTTTTATAAAAAAAAAACAATTTATTTGATTTAAACCAATTTTTAATTTGTTTTAAAATGTTCCTTAGAGGAAAGTCCTGGGAAAAAGTTATTAATGCACTATGCATTCATTTTGTAACATTATACATCTGTTTTCCTGTTGAATTCATGAATAAGCTATTGTTAAATAAGGATGAATTGACTCAAAAAATATTTTAATTTTATAATAATGTTATCAATATTTATTTACCCATTTAAATTTAAAACATTTTAACCAGAGTTTATAATTTATAATAAAATAAAAAATTAAATTTTAATGTTAGAATACTAATTAAATTAATATTCTTACATAAACTAAACTAGAATCAATATTTATAAACTGCATCAGTAATCATGGAAGTAGTATGCAAAAAAAACTAGTGGTGCCAAAACTAACTTTTCTCTTTGCTGGTCCTCACACAACATGTCCTTTCATAATTATACCATTGGTAGTAATAAAAAATTCCATTTTAAAATAATTATATTAAACTTTCATGTATTTTAAAGCCTTTTTATTATTATATCAAATGTTATATATTACTTTTAAAATATGGATTAATAATCTCTGGGGTTCTGATAGAGCTCATATTATCTCTCAAGAGTTAATAATTATAGAATGTAATTTTTTAATTGATATTTTTTATCAGACATTATAAGGATGTTATCTATGCATAAATAACAAAATTTATTGTAGATTTTCAACAAACTAGTTGAGTAGTGTTCTAAATCCATTTTTTAAATTTTTTATGAGAGCATTTCAAAAAAATTATTCTTGTATTTAATAGAGATCATATTATAATAATACAAAAATGGGATTATTCTAAATTATATTTTTATTGTTGACATGTAGGAATAGTACTAAAGGATTGATTTGGGGAAAAGGGTATTTTACAATGTGGATAATAGATTAATATGAAACTCAACCAAAGATATTAGTTTGTAATTTTTTAATATATAATAAAAACCTGCAAATATACATCCAGATGACCACATATCAATAGATGTTGAATAGATTTTTGCACCAAATAATACATCAGGAGGGCGATACCATAAGGTAACTACCTACAAATATATCCATGTAAAAATAACACTTTTATAATAAATTAAGTTTCAAACCTCAGAGGAATAACATCTCACAGGAATTCCAAAAGCTCTAGCTAAACCAAAATCAGCTAGTTTTAATTCACCATTCTTTTTGGATAAATATATAATAAACAAATAAAATTTGAATAAAAACTTTATTGATAAGTAGGTTCTGAGGCTTCAAATCCCGATGCAATACATGATGGCTATGGCAATAAGATAAACCACATAATAATTGTCTTAAAAATGACTAATAATATTTTTTAAAAATGTAAAATAAAATATCTAAAATTAGTCAAATATATTTAACAAGGTTATAAAGATAATAATAGAATTGATAAAAAAAAATCATGATCTTAAAAAAATGTTTATTTATTACCCTAACAATATTAGGATCTATCATTCCATCACATGAATCAAAATATTTTTTTAAGTCTTGATCACAATATTCAAACACCAATATTAATTTCTTGTCACTATGTAGGATATCTAGTAATCTGTAGGCAGTAATTTAAAAATATTAAGAAATGTTTTACCTTACTATGTTAATGTGTTTCAACTCCTTCAATAAACATATTTCTCTAAGTGCAGAACTAGGGATCCCCTTAAATTAATGTTTGTATATATATATTAGATTTTAAAAAAAGATTACCTCCTCTTCGTCGTCTAATCGCACTTTTTTTAACGCAACAATTGATTGATTTTCCCTATTCTTTGCTTTAAAAACCATGCCATAAGTTCCTTCTCCAATTTTTTCAAGTTTTTCATATTTATTCATTTTTTTTAAAAAATCGATGGCTTTCATATGTTATTGACAAAATTGTATTCCACTCCAAAAATAAAAAAATATTTATTAGCCGTTTTCTTATGATGAGTGTTGTTTAAAGCCCGATTCGGGACGATTTTTAAAAACGTATTGAATAAACAAAATAATATTATATAAGCCTGGAGATTTTGCTCATAGATGGCAGAAAGGTTTGGGCATCTATTTACCAATTCTCGAGGTTTATCTAATATTATTTAGCTTATATCTTAATTGGGCCGTTTAACAAAATAAGACCCAAATCGGACTCTTTAACAAAACTAATTACGAGGACCCAAATGCTAAGCATCCTGGAGCTTACTAATTTATCATCGGGTGATTACTTAAGGCCACATAGTTTAATTTTGTTGTCTTTAGGTATATAATAATTTTGGACTCCATGCGTCTCTTCATTTCCGAAAATGTGAATTTTTTACTTTTGACATTCAAGCGGAACTTTAAATTTTTTTATAAACATAGACAGCAAGATAAGAGTCCTAACATCAAAGCCCAAGGAATTTTAATTTTTAAAACGAAAATTATAAATATTAGTGTTTTTAAGAACATTTAGTCCTAATTCCTTTTTTATAAAATGAAAGTTAATTTTTATGTTATAGGTTATGATTGGAATAGAGCTATATAGTATGAATTAAATACTCAATAAAAAACAAAATATTATTTATAAAATGACGATTATTATACTTTATTTTAACGCTGCAATACTTTGTCATCAAATCAGTACTAATCCCAGAGTAGATTGCCTCATTCTGAGACTAAGGCCCATAACCTCTATACCATCCAGTAATGAGTTTCCCACTTGATCTGAACTCTCTAACCTTAAGCCGGAAAATGAACTGGCTTGGAAATTATGTTACTAAACCCTAATTAAACTCGCCTTTTCACTATCGCCAGGCTAAGAAAACTAGGTTTATATGCCATAGGAGTTTAGCAAATTCAGGACTATTTTTAAGACCCGAGTTTTAATAAAATAAAAATTTATACCTGTCAACATGATCATCCAGAGCCAGACATAATTAAATATCATTCATACACTCATTGTATTTCAATTAAAAAACGTTAACTAAACTATATAATTAACCAATTGGAAAAATAAGAATGAGACGAAGCAGAAATTTTTAATTTTATCTTTATTTTAATGTTTGAGTGTAAAATATTGAAAATAGCAATACCATTTCAAAATATTTGCAATCCATTGACCTAAATCTAAAAATTTCAATAGAGTATCGATTTTTCAAAATTGTGCTAAAAGAAATAGAAATGATTTTTTTAAATTTTAAAGCTTAAAAATAAACAAAATATTAGAATGTGGTGTGGATTTTTATTTAAAAAAATGAAGATTTCCAAAAGTTAAAAAGAATTTTGACAAAATGTCTAAAGGAAAGAATGAATATATTAGGGATAATGTTTACATAATATTGTATTTATTGATATAATGGCTAATCTACTGGGGAAAAACGATTTGCCAACTTTCTAATTTCTAACCAGGCTAATAATTTTACTAAATTATAAATATAATCCAGATAACTTATTTCCTGATAAAATTTTAAAATTTCAAGCAACTTTCTAGTCTGAAATAAATTTTTTTGAAAATACTTCAATATATTTCGCTAGGTCTCTACAATTGATCATTCATCGATGCCATAGCCTGGTGTCAATATTAACATATACTTTTAACTTTACCTATTACTACAACCCAGTCAGAGCGTAGTATTAATAAAAATTTATCTTCATAATAATTTATCAAAATTTTAGCCAAATAATGGTAGTAAAAAAAGACGGATAAAAAAGTTAATTATTGAAAAGATCATTTTTTCCAGGTTGGAAAATTTATTATATAGCCACTTCCCATGAAAAGCATTTCTAGTAAAAATTTCTATAAAATACATTTATTTACTTACAGCTCGCATAGCTCAATAAATGATGGGAAAACGTCATGTAAGAATGTTCGTAAAGTATATAGACTTCGATTTTATTTACTCATTTTTCAATTTTATTATATTGCGCATATATATATATTTTTAAATTATAAGTTTATTTATTCTCGCCAAGGTGCTGAAAATTTTGATATTCATACAATATTTATCAATTTATGATTAAGAATAAATGTTTATATACTAATTATGTTAATATAGTCGCATAATGAATTTAGAATTATAACCAAATTATTTATGCTCATATGAAGTATCAGTCAAATTTCTATAGGATCCATCTGTCGAAGTGGAATATAAGCTCGACTCATTTATCCATTTTCCAGAACTTTTCATACTATCTGAATTGTCCTTCCTACAAAAAACGATTAAAGAGAATTGTATTTATTATTATGACTTCAATTTATGACGCGTGTATCTATCAATTATGAGCGTTATCAGTTTCTATAAATAATTATTAAATAGTTCTATTAAAATTTTATAATGCCATCTACTTGGTATTCTTCGTCAAAAACATTGTCCCCTTTACCTTTTTTCTTTCTAAACATTTGACCCTAAATAAATTTCAAAAAAAAATTGTTAACATTTTCATTTAATTAGCACAATTAAACTTTAGGACATTTTTTAAAAAAGTTACAAAAATTATATAATAAATTTCTTAAACTGAACAAAGCTTCATGATAGACTTCATAGAGGGCAGCAAGTTGATTGGTGGGGGCAGTGTTCTTCCATCTTCGAAATAACTCATCCAGACAGCTGTTCGTGCAAATTTCCATTCCACATCAGCATTATCCTAAAATTAAAAACAAGCCCCCTATATTATCGTCAAAAGTGATTTATTTTTTAAAATGAGCTTTGGGTAAAAACATAGTTCAAAATTTTTCTTTTAAAAAAGTCAATAATTTTTATGTAAATGGTCACATAATAAAATGCCCTCCTCCTTGAGTTCGACATTATATCAATTATGTTTTTTTTTAAAATTATTGAAGTTTCGATTCAATTATTTTATTTTATTGAATCTGAACTTTAGAATACATAAATAATTTAATTGTATTATAGGAATATTATATTTATATTATATAAACATTTTTTTGTAAAATTTATCATCCTTGGTTTATATTTCTAAGAGTTATTATACCTGTACTTTTTGGAATGAGTTAGACATCATAGCGATCATTATGTTAAGAAAAATAATTATGGCAATTAGATGGAACACAGCAAAAAGTATATAACCCACTGTTTGAGTATAAGAATGCTCGTCTTTTACGCTATCTATAATCGCATTCTTTTCACTATCATAATTACTTATCACAACATCAGCCGATTCTATTGGGGACATTCCAAATAGTGCCCAAAAAAGTGTTTTATAAGTTTGAACCAGCCTATATATAAAAAATTCCTTTGTCAATAGTCAGTAGTATAAAAATTAATAAGCTTTTTTCAAAAAATATATTAAATATTATATCATACGTAGTAAATGAAGGAATCTGGTACTTCTTCAATCCACCTTTTTCAATCTTAATCATGCCTTGGTAATAATAGTAAAAATGATTTAGACCAGTCGCGAACGATAAAAGTAACAAAAAGTAGACCACCAAAAATACTAAGATATCATACGCCATGCGTCCTAATGAAACCTGTTAGTTATCGGGTTATTTCTTAAAATGTTAATTTCGAAATATAAATTATTAAATTTACTTGGAGTGGTCCGAGATATTTATTGATTTGAAATGTGTTGAGCAATTTTCCAAAAGCCAAAACCTTTGCTATAGCGAAATTACCCTCCGCTATTAATGTGGGATCAAAACTATCCCAATATTTTCTTTCTAAATTGGAATGATTATTTTTCAATAAATCTCTGTAAGAGAGTCCCCAAAATAGAAACGTAGAGTAAAAGGCTATTAAGTTTATCAGATCATACCTAATTATAATATAAAATATATGAATATAAAGCATGTTTAAAATTTTTATTGAGCCAGTTATTAATTATTATAAAAATAGTAAAAAGGAAAACTTTTTCAGGTATTCGTTATATTGGTTGAAAGATTAATATATTTTATAAAAATATCTAACAAGAATATAAAAATCGCTTTAGTTATGATATAGAAAAATCACTTAAACGATGTTTAAAAATTTATAATAAAATACTAATATACCAATTCCACCAAAGTGAGAAAAACTTTTTTGAACCTTGTGCCACTAAGGTCTTAAGCAGAAGCCACGTTAGGCCTAAAACCCATACTATGATATAATATTCAAGTCCTGACATATAAAAAATAACATTTTGATTATATGATTTTAATTGTCATTAATTATTGGGGGGTCAACATAAATGACATTTAGAGGTTTCATTGTTATATATAAATATGATAATAAAATTTAGATATTATATTTCTAACCTGTTCTAGGAGGGCCATGTAGATTGCTATTTTCACTAAATTCGCTATGCATAAACAAGATTGCTAAAAAGATGGCGTATGATAAAATGTGGCTAACAAATTTATTGACGGGTGATCGTAATTGCCTCGAAAGTCTTTATTGATAAATTTATTTTTAAAAAGTAATACTATATTAAGCAAAATTTAATTATAGCATCTAAGAATTTGATATTTTATATTATAATAGTCAGCGAGAGGAAAAGTGAAATGATTTTTTTTTGATAAAATTGGGCTAGCCGTTTTTAAAATTCGCACCCTTTTACGCAAGCTTAAAGAGTAATTTTTACACATGCAAACAATTAACTGCCTACTATTTCTATTTTATATTTTTACATATCTATTAGATATCTGCAAAGTCCGGCCCATTAGAAAGCCCTGCCCGCGGTCCTGGCATTTTACATAAATTAAAACGGGCAGGGTCGGGCAAATTTATAATGGACTGGGCCAGGCAAGCCCACATAAAAATATCTTAGGCCTGGTCGGGCAATTAGATAAAAAAAATTTGGGCCGGGCTGGGCTTTCGTAACATTTTTGAATAATTTTTTAACTATATAGAATTTCTTTATGATGAAAATAAAGTTAATAAAATAAAAATAATGTTCAATTCAAACGCCTAATTTTTAATTCCACTTCTACCCCCCCCCCCCCCCCACCCCCGCCCCCACCCCCCTTCTTTCCCAAAAAGTTTAAAATATTATTTTTTAGTTGTATAAAATAAAATGTTGAATAAAAAATAAAAACGATGGAGATAAATAAAATAGACCGTTAAATGATTGATGAAGGATGGAATGATAATTATGAATAAAAATGTAATTTTCATAAAACTTCATTCCCTATTATATATAAAATTATAGGCCAGGGTGACTATGTAAAATTTTAATGGCAGCCTGGACATTCTTTGATATACCTTTTTGAGTTTCAAGTTAATATTTTGATTCACATCTATTTGAAAAAATATTACAATATTCTTATTTATGTGTATTTTAAGAGCTGTTTAAGTAAAAAATCAAGTCTATAAATAATAGTTAATTAAAAAGAAATTAAGTAAGACATTTATGACATGATCCAATAAATACAGTACAGAGATATTAAACACAATGATTTATAAATAGGTTGTTATTGAAATAGATAGCTATCCAGGAGAGATATAAGAGCCTTAATTTAAATTGAGAAAAAATCAGATATAGATTATGATATAGAATAGTTTTAAAATCTGATGGCTGGAAAATTAGCATAAAAAATTAGGACGGTAGTGTACTTTTATAAATTTTTAACTATCCGAGGCGCGTTTGACTTTTCGATCTATTTTTGGTCCTGCCTCAAGCAAATTTTTAAAAAAATTTTGGGGCAGCTTGGTTTCTGGCAAATTTTTTTTTAAGGTCAGGCTTGACCGGACAAAAAATTTTTGGGGGTGGGCCGTGCAACTTATGCAAAAATTCTTAACGGACATAATTGGGCCGGACTGTGCCTTGTAGACCTCTAATATCTTCCACTATATTATCAACCCATTTTAACTGTCTAACTTCATTTTTAATTATTAATGAGATAAAAAATTTGATTTTTTTTAAGATTTAAAAATCGACCTGATAAATAAATTTACAAAATCACCGATTTTTTTACCTAATGTTTGGTAAAAGGAAATATGATAAAATGATAAACGGGAGGACTAAAATTTTCAGGGACCAACAAAATAAGTATTTCCAGGTTGGTAATGATACCCACGTGCTCCATTCACCTAGCCACTCAATTCGTAAGAGCCTCTGTGTAATTGGATGAGCTATGAACTAGAATAAATAATATAATTTTAAAAAATCATGCAATTGGATATTAAATCAACCAACGATTCAACCCGATTCCTTATTTTTCTTTCATTTCAGGTTTCTGATCTAACCGATTTGCAAAATCAGAATGAACCGCTATAATTTTATGAACTATAACACGACAATAATCAATTTTATATTATAAAAAAACAGGAAGAAACTAAAAATTTATTCAATTATCTTGTAAATATGATTTTTTCATCCTAACATTACCTGTCTAAATAAAATAAATTTTGAGTGGTAGTCTTGAAGATATAAAAGCCGATAAAGTTAGTAACAAGTGCGTGCGTATTACACATAACTTGGCAGGGAGAGTTAGAATCATAAGGAAGATAGATGTTATATTTAAATAGGTAAAAGGGTGTTAGAAAGAATATATTAAATTATAAAAATATTTTGCAGGTATTTGTTAATTGATCATTTCATTTTCTATTTTCGAATAAAATTACTTATTTAGAATATTTAGAATATTGGCGATTTTTTAAATGTCACTAAACAAAATAAATCAATTTAAAATCTTCCTAACAACAATCCACGATATACATAAACAAATGCAAACTTTAAAAAAATATATATAGAATAATAAAATATGTATATGCCACATGATATTCCTACCTCCTTTTGATCTAAGTAACGCGCTATCTTAACTCTTGTAAAATGTTCTTGAATTTTTTCACCTACATTTTGCGCTCCGTATTGCTCGTTCAATAAAAGTTTTGATTCTTCGCTATTAATGCATTCATTCAATAGATCAACGGCATAAGCCCGGACACGGATATTCATTTCCTCGTATTCTATCTAAAGATATAAGAGGTAGAAGTTGTCAATGACTTTCTTATATGTAAAAATGAAAGATTTTCTAAACCTTATTTTAATATTCCCATATTTAAAGTTTTCTCGCTTTTAACAATTAAGACATTTCTGACCATGGAAATCTTTTAAACTAAAGATATTCTCAGTTTTTTTTTCCGCATTACCTATTCCCATCGAGAAGCATTAAATAGGGGTTTTCAGTGGAATATACGAATTCAATAAAACAAGTATATCAAAATATAAAAGAGTCCGATGTTGAAAGCAAAGCTCAAAAATATGTTTAATTCTTGTTATTATATTTTATCACCTACTTTCCCCTGTTTGATTGATTGTATCTTAAAATTAATTCCATTATCATGTTTTCCCAGATATTTAATTTTTTTAAATTATTTTTTTTTTGTAAATCTAAATACATATATATATATATATATTGGAAATGAATAACTAATATATAAAATTTTTCTTAAATAAATAAATAAGTTTTTATATACATGTTCTTTTGGTTATAAAGAAATTCAAATATATATATTATTGGACATAAATTCAATTGGTCTTTCATGACCATCTTCTTCTACATGAAATAAGACTGCACCCATGCCTTTATTCGAAGCATCAGTTGAAATAAACAAATTCTTATTTTTATCATAATGCGCATGAACTGGTGCATTACACAATTTTTCTCTAATTTTGTAAAAACTAGCTTTTTTTATTAACTTCCCAGTGAAATTTTTTACCCCTATTAAGCAATTCATATAAATTAGGTGCTAATTTAGAAAAACCTCTTATAAATCTCGAATAATAATTCATAAGACCCAACCAAGAATGCAATTCATCCTTATTATTAGGTTCAGTCATGGTACTTATCGGATTAATCTTTTCTTTGAATGGTTATATACCTTTGTCACTTATTAAGTAACCTAAATATTTAATACTATCTTTGCTAAATTCACTTTTTATAATATTTCTAATCAAACCATATTCCAGCATTCTTATAAACACTTTTCTTAATTTGTTAAAATGATCTTCTTTATCCTTACCAAAAATTAGCAAATCATCTAAATAATAAGTCAGAAAAAAGTTCGTCCATGGTCTTTTGAAAATAAGCAGTTGACGCTGTTAGTCCAAAAGGTAACCTGTTAAATTGAAAAAGACCCTTGTGGGTTGAAACCGTCAAAAATTTGTATTGTCAATACTTAATTTTTTTATTATTTTTTTTTGGAAGTGATGCATGTTACATATTAGTAACAATTTTATTTTGTTAATATATTTTTTATTGTAGATAATGAAGGTTTAAGGTTATCAAATGAAACTTTTACTTCATATTAAATCTTATAAGAAACGATATATTATATATTATATGATATATATATATTAAATATAAAATTGATTTATTTTATTTTTTGTATATATAAAGAGATTATTATTATAAAACTTCTACCTGAACTTTTAAAAATAAAGATCTTAATTTAATATTTTTAAATCGATTCTCATTAATTCCTACGTTCAAATCAAGCCATCTTATTAATTCCTACGTTCAAATCAAGCCATCTTATTAATTCCTACGTTCAAATCAAGCCATCAACCCCGCTATATCGTTTCTTATAAAATTTAATATGAAGTAAAAGTTTAATTTGTTAGCCTTAAACCTTCATTATCTACAATATAAAATATATTAACAGAATAAAATCGTTACTAATATGTAACACTCTTTATCATATAAAATAAATAAATTACGTAAAAATAACTTGTAATTCTGGTTCATCGCACGCGTTATTAGATAACTCCTGGGATAGTAAAAATGCCTCTAGTATAGGATCAACCGATGTTAGGCACAAATAAGTTTCATTAGATAAAGCTTTATACGTGTTTAATCTATGCATAGATATATCTAATTGATTTTTATCCTGTCTTTTACAGTCGTCACAGTCACCTTTAATATTTTGAATAATTATACTTATATATATATATATAATATATAGTATATAATATATATTATATAATTTAAAATGATTTAACATTCTGTTACTCCCTAGTTATGAATATGAGTATATAGAAGAGCCTATATATAACATTTATCAGATTAGTTGTTGGTTCAGAAATTTTGTAATAGATTATAAGAGAGGAAAAATATATAATTGATAAAATTATAGTTAACTTTAATCATAAAAAAGCTAAAATATCGACTTATAAAGAAAATTCGAATGTAGTGCATTATCATTCCCACATAATCAACGGCTTGATAAGAAAAATTTTTTTAAATTGAATACATCTATTTTTACATAAATTTTATATTTTTGATGAAATTTGTATCATATGATTAGCAAAACAATTAAATTATATTTTAATATTTAACTTAAAAGGTTACAATGAATGGCATAGCTAGGAATAGGTAAAAGCGTGCTTACATACACAAATTAAAGGATGTCATATTTTTTAGATAAACGATAAAATCTATAGATACCCTTTTTTGTCATCTGCGCACTATATTGTGAAAGTAAGAATAGGATGTTCCTTACCTTGAGATATTTTGTCCTCGCTTGTACAGATGAAAAAATTTATTATATTACATTGAAAATATAAAATAACTTTTTTAAAAAGTCTATTGTCCAAGAAAAGATGTCTGCTGAATTTTTAAAGACATTTAATATAAAAATTTTTACATAAAATAAAAATATTTTGGAAAATATCACGCTCTGACTTAATTTATCCTTATTTGATATTTAGTTTTCCTTTAACATCCCCAAATCGAATGTAAGCAGGTTTATATCGGTTCATTCCTGTTTAGATTTTTATAACGGCTCTTTTCGGTTCATTCCGGTTACCGATTTATAACTCTTATTAGAATTATATTGATTTATTTTAAAGTTTTTGCATAAAAAAAACTTATATATGTTTACTGGTCCTGTTATACTATTTAAATTGTTAATGTTATTTCTTTTTCAAGTTTTATAATAAAATAAAGATATTTAACTTAATACTTTAATTTTTGTTTTATTTTTATTCAAGTTTTTAAAATATTTTTATGAAATTATTATGGGCAGTGTTGTTAAACTACTATAACGCGCTACCTTTTCAGTAACATAACTTTAGCGTGCTACTTTAAAAAGAATAGTAACAGCGGTAGCTCGCTACTTTCAATTTTATATAATAAATACACATAAAAATGTTTAAAATATATTTATTTTATAATTTATTCTAAAATCATAATCTTTTTATTTAATTTGATTATACATTATAAATCTGTTTTCTAGATTGATATTAAAGATAATTTTGGTAAAGATCATATTGACAAGGAATTTCCCTTATAAATTATAATAATAATATGGAATTTCCTTTTCCTAAATTATCAAAGTATTTAAACCTAGATAAACAAATTAACAGAGATAATAAATTTTGTTATAAGATGCGCCGGAAGATTTTATCATCAAGCAAGACTAGTAGCTTCAACTTTAGATTTTATAACAATTTTTGAGCTAAATGAGTTTATGTGAAAGTTGATTTTCAGACCTCGTCCAAACATGGTATATTCCAACTGGCCATAAGGTATTATTAAAATTATATTATAAATTAAAATTACAATAAATAATTAATATTAACAACCCATTTTATCATCAGACTCATCTATTTAATGATAATATTTTATAAATTCTGGATGTTAAACATGCTTAAAATTAACCACTCATCTATTTATCTATTTAATAATTTTATCAAAACATGCTAAATACTTATTTTCAGCCCTGTCAAATTTTGATCAATTTTGAGAGAAGTTGGCTCTATATATTTAATATTAAAGGGTGATCGCCTGGTCAGGCAACAGTCATTTATGCTACTTATCCCTCTACCTATATAATTTTTATTGTAACTATTACTATTATAATTTTGGACTTATCCTAGCTAAAAGCTTGTACTTTCTGATCATCGCTCTAGACTTGGGGATTGTTATATTAATGAAATACAATAAAAAATAAATTATATATATTTGAAATTTTAGTCATATTTATATATCATTATTCTTTATTTGTGGAAATAGAGATACATCAAAAATATTTTTTAAAAAAATCTAAAGTAGCGTGAAAGTAGTTTTTAGCTATAATTTTTTAAAGTATCTAATAGCGTGCTACTATTTTTGTAAAATAGCGATAGCGCGCCACTTTTAAAATTAGCTTTTAACAACAATGACAAACTAAAAATTTTTTTATTATGATTAGAGGAGAAATCTAATAATTTTTTAGTTCAATACCAATATCACTTACACTTGAGTTTGTGTACAATTAACTTTAGTTTAGCTCCGAATTAACTTATTATTGTTTAATAAAATCAGCGAAACGAAATATATTGTTGTTGCACTAAGATTTATCTTAAATGTAATGTGAACTTATTGCATATACCAGCCAGAGGAGTGGCGTAAACAGAATTTTATTTCGGAACCCATTAAAAAATGACTGGGGGGTTTTGCCCCTAAATCTCTCTTAGCTGGCACTGCGTTTGACTAGTAATAGTCATTATGGGTATATCATGCCTTTTTGCGCTTACACTATATTCAGTCTTTTCTTCCAACTCACTAGACTTAAAAAAATTTTGATACCTAAATAAATTCTATATCACTTACACTTGGGTTTAGGTAAGCTATAGTTTAGCCCCCCCCCAATTATTCAAATATTTTTCAGTTAAATCAAAGAAATTAAATGTATATTTTACTCTACATTATTTTATTTTGCCTAACGTAAGGAAACCGGAGCAAGTTGGAGACAGAGGCATGTTAGTCCACTCCAGTTTATTTTCAAGCTTTTATCCCATAAGAGTGAAAATTTAAACCCTATAGGTGCCTTATATAATTGGATATAAAAGATTTTTAAGATATTTATTATTTTAATTTTTACAATGGCAAATGTGTTTTAATAAATAAATTCAAACTTTATCATTTAATATTTATAACCAGGGTTGCCAGGTCAAAATTTTCAAATTGCGGGAGAAATTTGGTATTATGCGGGAGAAATATTAAAATTGCGGTAGAAATATAAAAATTGCTAAAAAAAAAATTTTGCGGGCCTTCGGCCGGGATTTTGAATTGACTTAATTATCCGCCTATTATTTTTTATAATTAGTTTATATAAATACAAAGTAGGTAACTATTTTTCAAAATAAAATAACATCTTGATTTATTAAAATATATTAATTTATAAAAAAAAAACCAACGATCTTTTTTAAATATAAAAGAATGTAAACAAGATAAAATTTTATAAAAAAAAACGATTTTAATTTTACAATTAAAAATATATTTTATGCGAATGTCCCGCAAAACCAATTGGAAATCTACCGTGTGTGTATAACATTATAGGGATAGGCGCTTAATTATCACGTATCACGTTTAAATACATAATAAGGTACTCCAAAAATAAGAAATAATACAGATGAAACTACAGTTGCGGCATTTGTAATCACTTATTATCTTGTAGTACAACATTCACGATATAGATATCACATTTTTACATCTAAAAGTATCTATATACTTTAAACTTATCATCACAATGTTGGTAGAATCTTTTCCCCATAATATTTAACGACTCTAATATAAATAAAACTATACTTGTAGAACAAAAATGAGCAAGGCTATCATCAATGTTTTAGGACCTAAATCCAGAAGGTCAATTCTTGACGATTTGAAAAATGGGCATACATATGCAATTCTAACAGATGCATCTAATAAAAGAAATATTAAAATATTTCCCTTGATCCTCCGCTATTTCAACAAAATTAAGATCGTTTCAATAAAATTATTAAATTTTTTCCCCTCAAATAGTGAAAAATTCAAAGACATAGCTAACCATATAATGGTAAATATAGCATTCAAGATATGTCAGCTTTCTGATCTGATAATGCGTCAGTGAATTTAGAGTGTATTTACAGAATTGAGTCAGCACAATGTTGGTTGCGATATGTTCCTAATACCCGCCATCGATAGAATTTTAAAATTTTATAAACCTTTAAAAAAATATTTCTTAAATAATGATTATAAAAGCTGTCCTAACATTTTGAAAATTTTTTTCAATAATGAATGGCAGAGGTATATATATATTTAGGAATGATTTCACATGTAGGAAATCTACTACATGCTATAAATGTGTAGTTGCAATCAGAAGAATCTTGACAAAAATTCACAAAATTATGATGCAGGTGTGTTCATCATTACAGTTAAAAATTGACAATAAATTTCATGGCGCCATTGCTAAAATTTAATTATATTTTATTTGAGATTTAAATAATAGAACTAAATGTTTACCGTCGTATTGAGATATTTATAAAATTCCTGGCATGACATATTATATATTTGTTTAACCATTAGCTCGGCCTCTAATGTTGTTAAAGCAATCCGATTTCTCTCCTTTTTCCAGGCAGTCCTCATCAGGCTAAAAATGCGCTCGGATGAGGCATTAGAATGAGGAGGTAAGGAGAAGACATACTCGCATATTTTTTTGAAGCATGGGGATTTATCTTAGACCATCTAACTTTAAGTATTTTGGCGAATCATAAAAAAAAGAGAGAGAATTACAATCTCCTCAAACAAGAAATCAATGTCTTTCGGTATTTTTAATATATTTATTAAATTATAAAAACCATTAATTGATGGTTTCTGTTCCAAGGTCATAATATTTAATTTATACATTTGTAAATAGAGTTATTAAAATCAAATTTTGATTGTAAATATTCTAAAATTGTCTTAATAAAAATATCTGCTTCATTTAAAAATGTATTAATTAGAGTATAATTTGAACATTTTAATATAATATTTTTAGCAATAGCGCCATAAAATTTATTATCAATTTTTAACTGTAGAGATGAACAGAGCTGTAGCATGATTTTGTGAATCTTTTTTAATAAAGAATATACTGATTGCAACTGAATATTAATTGCATGAAGTAGATTTCCTAC